TGTAAGTAATCCAATAGGACGTCTTCTTATCTGAAAGATACAGGAATCCTGTATAAATCCGGTAAATTGTAACCAGCATCCATGTTTTATTACCTAAAAGACAATATTATTTGCAGGTACTGTCATCATGCGGTCCGATGTCGGTGTCATTCTTCACAGTAGTGGTATTCTTCGGATCGTTCTACCTCATCAACCTGATGCTTGCCGTCGTGGCCCTCAGCTATGAAGAGGAGTCGCAGATCACACAGGAGGTACATACATAACAGTGTGATTATTTTCTTTTATGATGGTGGTCAACACTGATTTTAGACAGCATGCTGGTGCCCATCATAACGTTTACTATGGAGATTGCACCATTAAATTTTAAAAGTAAACACCATTTTTGTTTCTTTTTACTGGAATGAAGGCCTGTTTGATCAAAAACGGTTATTTATGAATATAGAACAAGCAATGCTGCTATTGCCTATAACAATTTCATGCAGTTAGAACTTACCGTAGTAATAGGGTAGATGACTAATTTTTATTTTAATGTCCGGCTGGTAGATTATTTTAAAACATTACACACGTATTTTTTATTTTTTTCAGAAACGAATACTTTCGACAATGTATTGATTTGAAATCTCGCGTGACGTCACTTCTATGTACATTTTATACGTAGAAATGACGTTTTAACCCCCACTCCCGAACTTTGATTCGTTATATCAAAGTATCATTTTATTATACAACAAAATAAAAATATACATGTCTAATATTTTTTCATTACCTAACTGACGGACTAATTCGATTTTTAATTATCATACCCTCATTCGACTCAATATTTTATTTTCTATTTTCTCTCACCAGGAAAGGAAGAAAGACCTGAATGAGCATCGCGACGATTCCACCTTCAGCTTCGACCCCACGTCGCTGGCGGTTCGGACGCTCGCCAAGGACTCGAGAAAGCGCATAGACGCGCGTAAAGGCCTGCTACTGGCCTCTTATTCACGAAAACGGACAAGAAGACGTAAACGGGGCAGAAGTGCTATTCATCATGCAGCTGCAGTTGCTGCTGTTGCTGAGTGAGTACTAGTTCAATAATTACATTATCTTAATTAAGGTCACAAAAACCTGGTGATACTGACAAAGAGAAGAAACTATAGAAAGTGTTGGAACGTTGAGTATAATGTCAAACTTATCGGTGCATTACCGATTGATAAAGAAGTTATTAGAAATATACATTACATTAAAAAAATCCGTTTTCGAACATCGATGACGAGTAATTTAGAAAAATTTACCGGAGACCCAATTATCGCCCTCACCCCCTTCCCCAATCTCCCCAATCCCTGGATCCCCAACGATCCTCAAACTCCTAATCCCGAAAAGGCCGTTAACGCACTTGTAACGCCTTTGGTGTTCCAGGTGTCCATGGGCGACGCCGATTGCTTACCATCAGGTGATCAGTCTGTCCGTTTACAGACATATGCCATAAAAAAAAATAAGGTCAAATTTGGTTGAGGTTGACGCTACTAAACAGTAATCCTTATCTTTTCCTAAAAGACATAAAACTACGGACCTATCTCTATCTAATTCTACATGGTAACAAAATGATCATGTGAAATATATCAGATAGGTTTAAACGTAGAACATGAACCACTTTGTGAGAGAGACCGTGTGAGAGAGCGTATACGACATGAGGTTAACATAGTTGACCGAACCTAACAGCTGAAAATCGAGAGAACTATCTACATATACTGTGCCTTTAGCCAAACGCCACTTTAGCGCTTGTCTACAGAGAGAGTAGAAAACTAAATGTATGAGGATGACACTGACAAGTGTCAAAATTTACGTCAATTCCATATAATTTGGTTTTCTATTCTACAAGTAGACAAACGCTAAATGGCATTTGGCTACAGCTACAGGACTTTCCAGAATCCCCACAATTTGTCACAAGCTAGAATTTATTTTGAGGAGCCATTGAATTTGAGTTCAACTTTAACTAATCTGCTAATATCTACCTATTTACTATAATCCGAATTCCATTAATAACGTCTATCTATGATTTTTTTGATAAAAATACATTGCCCCTCATTAGTATTTCCTTCTCTGTCGTGGGTACGTTTACCAACATACAATTTCACTTACACATGACACCCAGACCCGGAACAACAATCTGTGGATCACAAACAGAGTTGTTCCGTGCGGGAATTGTACCCGCGACACGTTGCACGGAAGCCAGTTGTCCAGCCACCGCACCAACCGTGTAGTCAAAGTCAAGTTACATAGATTTTCGCTATGCTGTGTTTAATAAATAATAATATAATATGCAAAACTCCGTATCGCAAATAATATACGAAATGCATTATTATATCGTTCGTAATTAATACACTTCCTGCACTATTTAATTAACAAACCAAACATTTTGATATACAGCAATAAACTTATATTACGTTAAGGAGTGGGAGTGTGGGAGAGCCATGCTTCGGCACGAATGGGCCGGCTTGACCGGAATGATACCACGGCCTCACAGAAAACAGACGTGAAACAACGCTTGCGTTGTGTTTCGTCGTCTGATTGAGGTTACCGGAGGCCCAATTACCCCCTTCCCCAGTCTCCCCAATACCCGAATCCCCAACAATACCCGAATCCCACTCCTCAGTCCCAAAAGGCCGGTAACGCACTCGGGTTTCGGGTGTCCAGTGTCCATGGGCGACGCCGATTGCTTGCCATCAGGTGATCCGTCTGCCCGTTTACCGACTTACCTCATAAAAAAACTTCATTTTATTAATCCACATCTGTGAGCAAATTTTATATTTTAATATATGGAGAGAAATCCAATAAGTAAGAATATGGGAAAGTTGGAAAGTTCCATATCGCGAAGTTTTATAAAGTCAATAGAAAGAAAATAGAAGTGAAGACAGGAGATATATGTATAAACTATACGTTGTTATCTTTATTAGTTAGGTATTAACAATATAAGGAAAGAAAAAAATGTGTGCAATTTAAAATACGCTAAAGCTAATAGAGAAATTTAACTCGTCGAGTACCGGTTTACAATTATAGTAGAACAATAGGTTGCGGTCACCGGTGACCGCTTATTGTTTGACAGTTTAAATAAAAGAATAATGACGATTTACTGAATAATAAATTCAGTCAATAGGGAAAGTACCCATAAACTACATATATATTAACCGAGGCTCCGGCTCGACGTGCAGGAGACGGTGCACGGGGTGGTTTTTAGTCAGTAAGAGTCTGACACTCCCTCCCGCCTCACCCAGGCAAGAGCAGTCATTCGATGATTTTCCCCCCTTAAAAAAAAACATACTACATATATGTATACCGTTTATAAACTGTATTATGTTAAGGTCGAGATGGCCTGGAGGATAAGGCACCAGTTTACGAATACCTAAGAGTCACCCTCTACCTACCCTGGACCTAGACTTATATTTTTCATTATAAGCTAGATATCACCAATTCGCTTTGAGTATAAGCGATTAATGCTCAAACCTTCTCCACGCGAGAAGGTCTTTGCTCAGCAGTTGGCACTTATCTATTGGCTGATGATGATGATGATCATGATGGTAATCTGTATACAGCTTAAATATATCCCTTCTGTATTTTAAACTTAGTAAGAAAGATTCACTTCAAAGCGTGTCGCAAGTGTACACAAGTCTTATACCAAGAAGCAATTTGCACGAAAATGTAACTTCTAAACAAATTGTGAGTTTGTGAGAACAAAGCGAAAATTCTATTAATTTTAGTAAACTTGACGTTTCTTTGAACCGAACAAGTGTTACGGAAATCAGTCTCTTTGATTTTGATCTATTGTAATTTTGAATTACGTATCTATATTTAAAAATGTATCCCTTTTCCATTGGTCACGGCATCACGCGTAAATGGCTGGATCGATTTCACTAATTCTTTTTTTGATATATTTGTTTTTATTAGGATGAGGTTCTTAAGACAGAGAAAATCCTAAAAATCAACGAAACGGGAGAAAACGGGATTGCGCGTAAGAAGTCGCGGGCTGAAGCTAGTAGTTAATAAAAACATTTTTCATACTACCAGGAAAAGTACCTAAGGTCATTTTCATCAACCACCTTAAAAAAAAACACTTAACTAAAAGTTACTTAGCATTAGGAAGTATCTAAACTAATCCCTTCTAGCTTTAGGAATCACTTATAAGTACATTGATGAAAACCAAAATATCATTATCTATCTTGATTTCTTTTTACTGATATCAAAGTAGTGATACTGTAAAATTATTATTATTACACATATTTATTTTGTATGGATCTATTTTACCCACATACATTTCCAAGAACATATTATATTCAACACAACTACTCAACGCTGATTGGAACTTAATTACTTTATAAAACTTTAGTGGAATTTCAATTACGAAAAAGCGAATACAATCATGTTTCACTTTGAGTTGTCACAAATAATACACGATTTTATTTATCTGTTGGCAAAAATATCAACGTTATAAAGTTTTAAAAATTGAAATGTAATCAAATAAATTAAAATGTAATTGATCAGTCTGTGATGCAGGTACCTAATGTTATTTTATTATTTCATTTATTCTGAGTATTTAATAAAACACTCAGAATAATAATTCTGATCTCTTTTTCTTTATCTCTTAAGGACTTAGATTCCTCTCTTCACGTATAGTTGTTCAGCGACTCCGGACTTTAAGAGCTCATGTGTTCAACTCTCATAGTAGTAGATAACACTTTAGAAAATTACTTTCAATCCCAAATCACCCACATATAAAGAAATTTAATTAATAATTAAATAACCTACAATGACAATAGGAATCATTTCAATACACAACCAATAATCGTGTGTAATGAACCGTGTAAGATAGAGTTTGACATGCAGTTTATAACTACCAGATTGTTCATCAAATCTAACATAGTCATTGTCCTAATGACTGTAATCAATGGCGTGACATAGCATCTTAACTACCTCTATATACGAAGGAGAATGATACTTAGATACCTAATCTATACATATAATAAAATTGTAGGAAAGTTAAAACTGTACATGGATATAAGAATGATTGGGGCGTCTAGAATTGATATATTTTTGTCTGTTTGTCTGTATGTACGATATATCCGGGTTTTTACCGAAATGCTACTAAAACGTCAAAGACTTACTTATTCGCAGTATGTAAGTTACTACGTGCAAATAATGAAGTGTACCTCTTTAAACTGTCAAACACCAAGCGGTCACCGGTGACCGCAACCTATTGTTCTTTAATTGTGTCTATAACGACGGTGCTCGACGAGTTAAACATTATAGACATTATTTAGTTCAATATAATAAAAGCTAAAATATGATAAAAATATTACATACAAGTTTCTATTCTCAAGCTGCATGAGTAACATTTTATACAATGCGTCTCGACAAGATGTTTCCCCAGGTACAACGTGAGAACACTCAGAATGGGTCATTCTCTAACTGAAATAAAACTTTTAACTATTTGCTTGTATGGAGAAATATTTCTATTCAAGTCTGTAAAGGAAAAAACATATTGAGGGAATGCCCACAAAAGTTTATTTGTGTAACAAGTAAACAGATATTTTCCTTTTTAAAAAGCAGCATCTAAGGTACCAGTAATACCTTTATAATTATTTTAAACTTATTTGCCACTTCAGTTATATAAAAAAATATAATATGTACAGCAACGTGCCAGTAAATAAATGTACCTACTTTAGTCTTTTAACAGAATAATAAGCACATTCCTTCGAAACAGAGAAACAAACGCAAATATTTTAATTAGACTTCTGCCAGAACCACAGATATGCTAGTGTCGCTACACAAATGACCACCAAGGCTAGTTCCATATCTTATGACATTTTAATTACATTTCTTTCACATCGCGCTTTCACCTCCTTTAACAGAAACTCTATGAAAGAAGATATTTATTTTTAATTACATTTTCTAACAGGTTTTTAACACTAATTAATTTTTCCTCTTAATGAGGTCGAAAAAATTATTGTAATTAAAACATCTTAATAATACGAGTCTCTTTTAAGATGGACATAATTAAATTGGTGGATTAGATAGTTAGGACTTTTCCCCCGTCGATAGGCACATGTTATCTAACATATTTTGCGGACTTACGCACATTAAATCCACAGAAGGTTAATTACGCACTCGAATAAATAATGTATCTTAATAATTAATACACAATTATTGTAAGTAAGTTGTTGTAAGTAAGTATACAAGAGATTAATTTACGAATTGTTATTATCTACTCAATGTCGGATTACTTCTTTGAGATATATATTTCGTAATTATTTCTCCGAAAAGAATCAACCCAATTATTTATTTTGGAGATAATGCGGCAATCGATACTTACCCTATTAAAAATAATCCGTTTATAATAAACATCAACTCCCACGTCTAATAAATCAATACAAATAAATATTCGTTGTAAGAATCAATGGAATAAACAATCGTTTAGTTCAACAAAGACCTCAAAAACGAAAATAAACAATACAAAAGGCTTTGCAGCCAAATTGGGAGCGGGAAAAAACGTTGATGGCGTTCCATATTCATATTTAAAAGTTGGCAATAAAGCGAATGAAGCGCGACATCGACCATCGACAATTGTTGATTGTTGCGCGGCTGTCGGCAGCACACCAGTGTGCGAACTTGCCGACGTAGCTACTGATATTCTAGTTATGTCGATACCATCGGAATGTCAGCTGCCAACTGACATATATCTACGATGCATTCGCTTTGATATCGAGCTAGCTTTTATACGAGATTCAGCGTTTTGCGGCACTCGCTCGATGCGAAATTGTTCCGCTTACTACACTGTTATGGTTGATGGAAAATCTTTTTCTTTGTGGCCATTTTCATGGTTCTCTTGTTTACTTTAAAGATGGTAATGGATTAGGAAGTGTTGAGGCGTTACAGTGAGATATTCTCTCTATAAGTGAAATCCTGTAACATCCTGTCTGATTCAAGTTAAATGTTCCTTTTATTCTGCAGTAACCAAAACTGCTTGCCAAAAGACAGCAACAAATTCAAACAAAAACATATCACAATAACAGCGTAACAAGGTTTACAGTTATCTCTAATTGTACAAGCGTGTCGCACAAAACTAATTACAAATCTTGTGATTCTTCACTGTAATTATACAAAGAAAACAAAGTGACAAAGGAATGCAGTCAAAGAGCGTGGAGCCGGCTAACAAGATTCCGGCGGCGGGATTATCACGAAGTTAAGCCTGGAATAGGACGGGAGAATTATCTGAGCCAGCTACGGGACACTTCCTCGGCATCGCTCGACAAAAAACAAATATCTGCCGTTAGAGCGATAACATTCAACGGATTTGCGTTTTGTACTCGAAATAAGCTACGAATGAAATTCAGAGTAGCTGAGAATTTAACCAGCTCGTTGGCTCTCGACTTGATAAAACGAATGAAATACTGTTCCTTTCTTTAAATGCAGATTCTCCTCGGATCCTCGCAGAAACTAATTTAATTAAAAGTGTGATTGGCTGAAATTCAAACTGTTAAATGCTAGCCGAATAAACAATACTGGCACTAATTCTTTTACAAAGAAATACTAATTCATACTCACTTACTCAAGCTCAATGTGTAGGAACAATTATGTTCCATCCCTACTATATTAACATAAATATCGAACAAACATCTCTACTAATTATAAAATAAAATAAACTAACATAGGAATGTTTACTCAAACCGGAGTGAAAGGTGTGCGACGAGGGAATCAAATAAGCGAAGCCTTACAAACTTAGTCGCAGCACTCGCAGTACTCGCAGTACAAGTTTGCTCACATTCTCAGGAAAATACACAGCGAAGTGAAATGCATCCCCGTATCGTATTGGCAGACTTTGTTGAATTAAATTCATGTTCTTTGTTCATGAGAATGATTTACTTTTTATTTTATACTCCTTGGTATGGATTTAACTTTATTTGTTATACCACATATTGCCTTAGATTATTTAACCTACAAGCATTTTGCTATGATTATAATAATATAAAGTTTTCTGTCACATACCAGATATAAATATTAAACTATTATGATACTGGTTTCAATGTTTCCCAATATAAGGAAATTTCCGTAATATCTTCTCTTGTCCTTAATAATTCGAAAATTTACGACGGAGCAGTTCCCTGTAAAAGGTAGTAAGAAATAAGAATATATTACATCCGGTTACCGTGTGCGTGACACGATAAGAAAAGGGATATTGTTACCATAATCCTGAATCCCCCGTATAAAACAAAAGGGAAGTGTCAATAACATTTTATACCAAGTACTACGATAGACGCAATACCTTGTGAAATTTTACTACAACATTGTTATCTAGCCTGATTCACAGTTGTTCAATTACGAAGCGTAATTCAATAAAATCGAAACGATCCTCCCGATTCGCAGCAGATCGTAAGCCCCCGAGGTGATAATGAAAAAGCTCATTTACTCTGTGACATTCTGCAAACCCGTCTGCTGTCTGGCTATTGACTCGAGGAGATCAAAACACAAACGAATCCTTCAGACTGACGACGACCTCTTTTAAAACTATCACTTTGAAGTACTGTTTCGACGAGGATATTTTTAAAGAAAACTTTTAGCAAACGAATAGAGATGTGGGATTTCGTCTCAGCTCCCACAAATTCTACCAATTTCAAATGCCATTCGATTCTGCAGTCGAGTTCCAGTTAGATATCACATGAAATGCAAAATATGATTTACGGTTTCGGATAATGTGAGTGAGGCAACCGGATTGGGCTGCGAGTTACGTCGAGTTACGTGAATCGTAATCCAATCTTTGTGAAATTCTGTTGAGTATATCCTCTTGGGAGACATGTACGAAACTGTAAAGCAATTTAAGGAAAGCGTCAAATAGAATGAGCACATTGCTGGAGAAAGATTTTATTTATTTATAGAAATCGTTTCTATCCGATATTTGAAATAGGTATAGACCTTTGTGGCATCCGCGAGAGTCCTAAATAAATAATAATCCTACAAAATATTGACAACAAAACGCCAAAAATATACTTCGTAACATCTGTACGTGGTATTCTTATCCAAATGGTTCTCTTGTCTAACTTTAACATTTTGAATTATTTTTATCTACAAACTTTTGCGAATCTCCGTAAACTTCATTAGTTTGATCCGATTTAAAGTTGTAAGCACTTGGACGCAACTCTCATTTAGTTAATTGAAAAAGCAAGTTAACGTTTACAAACACAAGTTCGTCTCATGCTGTTTCTGTAGCCATTTCTATGAATACAAAATACGTTTGGCGACAGAAAGATATATCTCTGTGAAATATAACATAAGTAAATGGTCATACCATTGGATAGCTTGGCTAGCATGAGAGCCGCAGTACAAGTACAATAAAGCGAACTATTAATCTAGAGGAGCCGACGACAAATGTAGTTCCCGCAATCCACAATACATATTTCCGTTTGAAAGCAGCTCACCTGTTTGACCCAATTCCGGAAAACTCGGAGTCAACACGTGAATTTACATGATAATACGGTTTGCCGCGGGACCATTTACCATAGCGAGCGGTAGCCGCGCTAAGCCCCGACTTCCATTAACGGCGAAACTTGAGAGGCTATAAATTTTTGAACATGCTACCACGTATGTTCACGTATTGATGTCATTGATACATTCAATGAATTCCTAATTTTCTTAGACGGTTATTTGAAGCAAACTTTCAGGGTCTTTTAAAATAAAAAACAAGATTTTAGGTTTCAGGTTTTTAGATGGGTCTAATGCTATAGTATTAAACTAATTAATTGTTTTAAGATAAACTATTTTAACTCGTCGAGTACCGGTTTTGTAGACACAATTATAGAACAATAGGTTGCGGTCACCGGTGACCGCTTGGTGTTTGACAGTTTAATGAAGAAAACATGTTTTATTGAAGAAACTTACATCCATATTACCTACATAATTATGTAAAGGTTTTCACATATTTCAGCAGCAAATACCCATTTGTGCTTACTATTTATTGTCGTACCTTTTTGAAATAATCAGTTGGATATTATCATGATTCCGTTCAACACTTAAGCTGCCAGCAATACCCATAAGTACAAATATCAACGTTCAGTGCAGCTCTAACTGTGTGTACTTACATTGTTTCAGTGACGCGGGCAAGCGGTCCCGGTCGCGGTCTCGCTCGCGGTCCGTGACCCCGAGCGCATCACCCCCGCCGCTACCGGCGCCGCAGCCCCCGCCCCCGCCCCACACTCTGCACCCAGACAATGCATTAGGTACGATACCATTCTATACTTCACCTACACCGGTCTAAGGATTATTGAAGTCTCAACTAAAAGGAAACATCTTATAATGTTGTACTCGTATTTGAACTTGATCTGTCGTCTTACTGAGACTCTCTGATTCTCTAATTTTATTTGTATTAATCACAATATTTAATATTGTCTGATATGGCATACCTCTTTACTAAATGTAGGTACTCAAATAACTAAGTGTAAAATCTCAAAGTAAATAATAATATCTACGTCTACCATTTACATCACGTCGAACTAAAAGCTTCCATATTAATATGATTCCGACGATACAACGACATAAAGATTGATTCGCTGTCGAGTAAATCTCAGAAAATGTTAATAGAATATCGCTCGAGCAGAAACGTATTGAATGAATATTTTCTCGGCGGCTCTATGGAACATTATATTATGTACTCTTATTATAATTTATCAAATATGTAAGAGAAACATCTGTGTAAATTACTTTTTAAACAGTCTGGAGTTTGAAATGGAAAACCAAATGTGTTTTTATATAAACTAATATTTTTGTTGTTAACATCTCAGGACGAGGTGCCCTAAGTGCGGCGGGACGTCAATTAAGTGATCACAGTAACAACAGGGAGTCTTCCCTTGATGACTCGGGTGTGGTGGATGACCACGATGATGGAGAGCATACATCTGACGACCAAGCACCACATCCGCACCCTCGGAGACATCTACTGATACCTCAACTGCCACCGCCGCCAAACCACCCACCTACACCGATGCCAATGCCGATGCAGACCCCCATGCAGATGCCAATGCCAATGCAGATACAGATGCCAATGCCTATGCCTATGCCTACCCCAATGCCTACCCCAATGCCTACACCAATGGTGCCCATGCCCATGCCTCAAATTCAACAGGTATGCAATCATTTTGACGCATCAAAGTCATATTTTGTGTCAAAAAGGTAACATTAGAATTGTCAGAATAGGTGGGACATATTCTAAAAATTTTCATATTGCAGGTTTCTCAAGACAGCCAAACACAAGAATCAAAACACAAACACGCAACAAAAATTGAAAAGCCTGCTTTGAAACCAAAAAAGCCGACAAAAAGCATACAGGACAAGTACCCGTTAAACCCGGACTACCTCAACCAGATCGTCGTGCTAGGTAAAATCTTCTTCAAACATTAGCACATTTTTCACTTCCTAAAAACTTTTCGGGTTCAGTATTGGCATCAAATTGAATAAGGTTCGGGAAAGTAGCACATGTGCCGCGATTGAGGGATTGGAAGGCAATCAAATAAATATTACAGTTTGATGGCACTACACAACCTAATCCAATTTATTGGCACGGCTTCAACACTGAAAAGCACGAGACAAATAACACTGAAACTAAACGATGCTGCCACTATGTATCAGAATGAACGCTTTGCAAACACGAAGGGCTAACAATACTATGACAACGAATGCATTTTATAGGGGTTCGGTACAATCATTGGAATTAATGAACTTGCCAAATTAATTTTGTAGATTTAGATGAAGGACGTAAGTTTTATTGGCTATAATTCTGCATGATATTCAATAATTCTTGTCCAAATTATGTCACTTAGGAGTCCATTATTTCGACATCTATTCAACCTTTGAATGCTTGCGTTCTATGCAATTTTCTACTTTTCTGAATTGGAATTACATTGTACAGGTTAATTTTAATTACAGTTTCTAAATTATTAGGTAGTTTGACTTTAAATACTTTTTCTTCTAAAAATTCTAACTATTCACTCTGTTTCAACTCTCATTTGCAACAGATGATATTTTCTTTGGATTTCAGAAGCATTATGTAAGGTTCCACTTTGATTTTTGAACAATCTTCGAAAACGTGAGTCGTTTCATAAAGAACTTGTGTGAATATCCTATGCATCACAAATTCCTTATGAAACGGTTCCATATCAATATTCTTTGGTAGCTTCGCGAATAAATTTTGACTGTGATATATCAAATATTTCAATTTGCTTTCGTAAAAGCTACCAAAGTTGTAGATACTGCAATTACATTATGCAATTAAAACAGTTTTAGGTACTGCTAATATTTCATAGAAATAACTATTCTATTTCTCCAATTTCAAATCATTTTAATTTTGTCATTCATTTAAGAGATAGAATATTTGTTTTCTATGATGGTTACATTCACCAGTAGCTTCACTTCTCAATGAGGTACACTTCATTGGGCATTTTAATACGACACGGTTGCAATCTCGCTTCTACCCTCATTAATATCGTCAGGGGCGGACTGGCCATACAAGCGCGCGCCCGACCTCCCGCAAGCGGAGACGACGAAAATTAATGAGCTCAGTTTATTGGCAGCCACGCACAAAACTCATATGGGCAATTACGAGCAAAATTGCACTTACTTCACAGGTTAGTAAACACAGACGCAAACGCTTCTACCCCCCAGTCCACCCCTGTTCCCCACAGGAAGACTGCAGGGTGACTGCGATTGACTAGCTGTCGTCTTGTCATAGCTCCAGAATCGCATTCAAGTCGATCCACATTACATGAAATTACTTTTACAAATACTTTGAACACTTGTGCATAACTTTTATGCGATTCGTATTTGGAAACATCTAAATTCATGTCAGTGTTTTGTCGGACTTTCAGTGTAACCACTGTACCGGTAACTGCACCGTTTGTACACATAATTGGCAAATCAAAATTTTTCGTACTACCATGCTGGTTTTCCTTGCATATTTATGCAATTTTCCTGCATATTTTCTTAGAACAACTTCGCTTACAATGCATGATGATTTGTGTAATATTTTTTATAAGTTATAGATTAATTTTTAAAACGAAAGCTTTGCATTGATGAAACTTGGATTTGCTTCACTATGCTTTCGCTTGTTTTAATTGATCTATTACTTCCGATTCTTTCTTTCTTCTGTTCGTGACGTATTTGTGAAATTTGTTTGATGTTGTTGTCGATGTTTGTATATTTTTCTAATTACATTGATATTTCTGGCAGATGAGCTCGTGGATAGAAACTGTGAATGTTGCGTGTCTTGCTGTATAGACTATGAAGGCTGGCTCCAGTTCCAGAACTGTTTGTATGGGATTGTGAAAGATCCCTTGTTTGAGTTGTTCATTACAACTTGTATTGTTCTTAATACACTCTTCCTTGCGCTGGAGCATCATGGGATGAGTGAGAACGTTAGATCGGCCTTAGATATAGGAAATAAGGTAACCAAACGTTAACTCAGTTTCTGGCTGTTATGAAATAACAAAGAAAATACTCTTATTTAAAACCTATTTCCTTTTAGGTGTTCACGTCGATATTTACATTGGAATGTATAATGAAAGTGATGGCGATGAGTAAAGACTTCTTTGCGTGTGGTTGGAATATATTCGACTTGATTATAGTGTCAGCAAGCCTTCTAGATCTTATATTCGAGCTCGTCGATGGCCTATCTGTGTTGCGAGGTCTTCGTTTGGTAAGTTTCACTAAAAATTAAAAAACTACACTAAAAATTTTCTGTACAAAATAACATCTAAATCTGCAATTGCTTATTTTACAGTTACGAGTGTTAAAATTAGCTCAATCATGGACTACAATGAAAGTGTTATTGAGTATTATAATATCGACAATCGGTGCTCTTGGTAATTTGACGTTCGTGTTAGTGATAGTTATATACATATTTGCTGTGATCGGTATGCAACTATTCTCCAAGTCCTACACGCCGGACAAGTTCGACCCGGATCCAGTACCCAGGTAAACTATTATAAATGTTAGCATATCTCCAAACTTTTACTTTCAAAGTTATTCTTGTAACTACGTGTTTTTTATTTGATTGGTTTTCTTATGTGTAGTTATAGATATGTTCTCGTTGATTTCCTTAAAATTCCTTTGCATGTAAATGTTCCATATTTTATTTGTCTCAATGTTATTAACCAACATCCCTGACTCATCGACAACTGAAGGTGGAACTTCAACGACTTCTTCCACTCGTTCATGATGATATTCCGGATACTTTGCGGCGAGTGGATCGAGCCTCTGTGGGACTGTATGCGCGCGGAGCAGGAGACAGGGGCAGAGAGTTGCTTCTTCATATTCTTGCCCGCACTCGTTATGGGCAACTTTATGGTGCTCAACCTCTTCCTTGCCTTGCTGCTCAACAGCTTCAATAGTGAGGAACTTAAGAATAAGAAGGAGGTCAGTAATGATTTAAAAAAGTAAAATTTTGTATTTGAATTTTGAATACACTAGAACACACCGTAGCGTATTGGTTGCACACAACAGCAAAACATTAAACTTGTATGTACTATTATTAGTATAATAATTATGATAAAATTTAATGTTAAGAAGTGGTCCAATTTTTTAATATATAATATTTATCATATTTTCACAACAACGTAGGAGACCTATCTATTTTAGAACCTCCTTCACAATATCTAAAGATCCTATCTGTGCGCCGTTTACGCGGGCGTGCAGCGTAGGCGTTTGTCGGCGCCATTATCCATTCTTCATTAGTGCGGCGTCTGTACGACGCATGGGTACAATAACCACAACCCACACAGCCAATATTTGCAAGATAACACCTTCACAAAAGTATTCAAAAATATACCTTATTTACTCTGAAACAAGGAAAACTTAAAACAATCCCTATAGTACTACCTAATACTAAAACCATTGTGAACTTTCAGGAAGTTGGTGAAGATTCAAAATTAGCTAAAAGTTTCGATAGAATACGTTCTATAGTAAGAAAAAAAGGTTTCCTTATATCGAGAAGTAAAGAGACTGACAAAAAATCTAAGTTAGAAGAGCTAGTTAACGAATTTATGACACAACAACGCGCTATAAAGGAGAAAAAGGCGTCAATACCGAGTGAGCAGAGGTACTCAGCATCCATACAGGAGACCATCCTGTTCCCACACGACAATATTTATAGTCATAGTTATCAAGAAGCATTAAATAGGTACGTATGATATTTAATCATGTAGACTCGTTTATAAAACTTATTGCTAATGTAGTTCTGCTCAGTAAGACTTTCAGGATACGAAAGTAAACTTTAAACTACTGAAATGAGCAAACATTTAGACAAAACACGCTTTGTCGATTCTCTTAAAAGTTAGTTATACAAAGTAGAACTAAAACGACATATCCAACTCGTTTCACAAGTCAAGCAAGTTATCTAACTAAAGTAAAATATTTCAGGCCAATATCAGTGGGTTCCGACTTCGCGTACCCACATCTTTACCAAGCTACCAACAACTTTAACCACGGTAGTCAAGAAACTTTAAAAGACGTGCGTGACTTGGCGGCCGAACATAAAATCACTAGCATTAGGGAAGATTCCAAGGAAAATCTTGAAGATACATCGCCTACAGAACAAGTTGCTGTTCAAAGGTTATTGAACCAAGTATCCTCTGGCTATCACACGCAGCCATCTGATTCAAGAGGTAAGAATTAACTATGAACAAAGTTTTATAATTGATAGTAAAATACATTTATATGTCACGAAATAGTAACTTTTAAATTAAACTATAAAACAAATTCTAGATGAGAACGAACATTATGAAATGGCCCAGTTGTCGAGTAGAACAACGCCAGAAAAACCGAAGAGGCAACCCAGGGAACTACCACCATCGAACAACTTAAGTAAGGAACCAGTCAAAGGAAGCAATGAAGAAGACATGAAGCGTCCGTGGCAAACTTTAGTCTCATATGTAGATGAATTAACCGTAGGTGGGAGAAAAAACTCACAGGGTCAATATATTGATGCGATGGGAAACTTCCCCGGATTTGGGAAACAGAAAGAGCCGAAAGTACCCGAAAATTGTTTCCCTCGCCAATGTTACGATGCGTATGTATTCATTCAAGAATGTCTCGATGCTCATTGCCATATTCGCTTCCATTTCTATATTAGGAGTTTGGTAGTTAGTCAGGTCTTATAATTAACCATTTTTCTAATAATCTCTTCTTCCTTTTGACATTGATCTTCATGCCCTTACGAGTTTTGTAATGTATCTATTGAAACCTTTTGCACTTCTAAAAACCTAATATTGCATCCAGTTGGTAATGTAACTATCATCAAGTAATGTATCTACATCTAACTTTATCGCTATGACCATTGCTTTCCAACATTAATCCTACTAACCCCATAAAATTCGGAACCAAGGAAACAATAAAAAAGGTTCCAGGGATGGGAATTAGAATTTCAACTTTCCGTACGTATTTACAATATCCAGAAGCCTAGGTAGGTAGAGGGTTATAGTAGATGCTTGTGATCCGAATGAATGCAAATACGCTGTCCTTTTAGGAGTACTTGTTGGGATGCATGTATTGAAACCAACTTGGGTCAGCGTTGGATGTTTCTCCGGACCTATATCCTGCGGTATGTAGACACTCCAGCCTTCGAGTGGTTCGTATTGGTGCTCATCTTTGCATCAAGCATCACGCTCTGCTTCGAAGACATTCACCTCGAGAAAAACAAACCATTGAAGAAAATCCTATACTGGACCAACTTGGGGTTCTGTATGATCTTCATTATCGAGATGTTTCTCAAGTGGATTGCGCTGGGGTTCTTCAGATATTTCACCAGTTTCTGGACTCTATTAGATTTTACTATAGTATTTGTGAGTATTATTTCTTTCAAATATAATACTTCGCTTTGAACTTCTTTTTAATGCTTATATATCGCTTTCAGGTTTCAGTATTCAGTTTGTTAATAGAAGAAAATGAAAACTTAAAAGTGTTAAGATCGTTAAGAACTTTACGTGCGTTGAGGCCATTGCGAGCAATATCGCGCTGGCAGGGAATGCGTATCGTGGTGAACGCGTTAATGTATGCGATACCCAGTATCTTCAACGTATTGTTAGTGTGTTTAGTATTCTGGTTAATATTTTCTATCATGGGTGTTCAATTTTTTGGTGGAAAATTTTATAAATGTGTCGATGATGAAGGCGAATTACTACCATTAGAGGCAAGTGAACATACAAACAATAAATAATTAATATTATTCTATACAGGTTCTAAAGTTATCCGTCCGATTTCAGATAGTGAACGATAAATGGGAGTGTTATTATAATAACTTCACTTGGATCAATTCAAAAATATCGTTCGACCACGTGGGCATAGCCTACTTGGCATTATTTCAAGTTGCCACGTTCGAAGGCTGGATGGAAGTGATGGCCGATGCAGTCGATGCACGAGGTGTTGATTTGCAGCCAGCGAGAGAAGCTAACATCTACGCTTATATTTATTTTGTCATATTCATCGTATGCGGTTCATTCTTCACTCTTAATCTGTTCATAGGAGTAATTATAGATAACTTTAATATGCTCAAGAAGAAGGTAAGTGGTTTTACTAAACATTCATCTAACACACGAGTTGTATCCAGTGTTAATGCTAAAATTTTAATTTCAGTACGAAGGCGGAGTTTTAGAAATGTTTCTTACCGAGAGTCAAAAGCATTACTATACAGCAATGAAGAAACTTGGTAGAAAAAAGCCCCAGAAAGTAATAAAGAGGCCAAGGAATCAGTTCTTAGCAATGTTCTACGATCTCTCGAATTCTAGAAGATTTGAGATCGCAATTTTCGTTTTAATATTCCTAAATATGCTCACTATGGGCATAGAACATTATGATCAGCCGCATTCCGTTTTCTTTATATTAGAAGTTAGTAATGCGTTTTTCACGACTGTGTTTGGTTTAGGTATGACATTTACTTTATTATTAAAAACAGTGCCAAACCCCTTTTCGACATCTTTAATCATTTATTTATTCATCACATACTGCAAAACATCACTTGTCTATGTTTAGCATTCTATCACAACCAAATGTCCCCGTTTAAAAAAGGTTTAGCACTGTTACTATTTGCAGACATCTTCTTAGATCCCAAGCCTTCTAAATAATGTGTAAACTTTACAGAAGCGATAGTGAAAATAGTAGGTCTTCGATATCATTATTTCACGGTACCATGGAACGTGTTCGACTTCCTGCTGGTGCTGGCGTCTATCCTGGGCATCTTGATGGAGGACATCATGATTGACCTTCCCATCTCGCCAACCTTGCTACGAGTCGTACGAGTGTTCAGGATAGGGAGAATTTTAAGACTGATTAAAGTTAGTACCTACTGCCATATATCAAGCACGTACGCTGTAAATCATTTTTTTTTTATTTTCAAGCGTATTGTTCAACTTGCCATATAGACAAGTTATTTGATCTATATTCGTTCGAATTTTCCAGGCCGCTAAGGGCATTAGAAAACTACTGTTCGCGCTAGTAGTATCGCTGCCCGCGCTATTCAACATCGGCGCGTTACTAGCTCTCATCACCTTCATCTACGCCATCATCGGCATGTCCGTCTTTGGGCACGTCAAGGAGCAAGGAGCGCTCAACGACATCGTCAACTTTCAAACTTTCGGGAGAAGTATGCAGTTGCTTTTTCGGTAAGTTGGTTAAAGTCTTTCTTGTCTCCTTAACCCAACTTTGAAACGTCCGTAATTTCATCTTTATAACTACTCTCTTCTCTCTACCTTCCAGTTTAATGACATCAGCCGGCTGGAACGACGTGTTAGAATCACTTATGATCCAGCCTCCTGAATGCGAGTTAGGCGAACATCCCGGCCAGAATGGCAACTGTGGAAGCCCACTCCTGGCCATCACGTACTTCACTTCGTTCATCATCATTAGCTACATGATTGTCATCAACATGTACATCGCCATCATCCTCGAGAATTTCAATCAAGCGCATCAAGAGGAAGAGATTGGAATCGTTGAAGATGATTTGGAGATGTTCTATATTCGGTGGTCAAAGTAAGTCTATTAAACTTAACTAGAATTCTAAAATATCTACAAAAATCTTTGTTGCCCGACGCGTCGTAAACTTCCCTCGATAAATCTTGGCTACCCACTTACAATTAACCTGTTTGTGACCAATCGGCACCACTTAGAGTTATTAGAGCTATTTACCATTACGACAGTTCAGAACGGACACTTTAAACACAAATAACGTCGTAAAGAGAAGCTCGTAAATCTTGCAATCTGTCTTGATCCCCTGAGCTTTAGTTAAACACATTAAAAGTTACTCGAACAATTATTGCTTGGCATTAACCGCATAATCCGTGGATACAGAATACATCAATTGTTCTTGTATTATTCTATTCTAACCATTTAGGTTCTGAATCCACTGTAATTGGACTAACAAGACCTAGTATTTAATTCATTAAGAACTTTGTACCTAAAATAATCGTTTCTCTTTCCAGATACGACCCACACGCAACTCAATTCATAAGTTTCGCTCAACTATCAGACTTTATAGCTTCCTTAGACCCTCCGCTAGGCATCTCGAAACCTAATACAGTGGCTTTAGTCAGTTTTAATCTGCCGATAGCTAAAGGCAATAAGATTCACTGTTTAGATATACTTCATGCCCTTGTCAAACATGTGTTGGGGCATGTCGAAGAGACTGATACGTTCAGACAGCTTCAAGAACAAATGGATATTAAGTTCAAGAAGCAGTTCCCTACAAGGAAAGAGCTGGAAATCGTTTCCTCGACGAGGATATGGAAGAGAGAGGACAAGGCAGCCCGGACTATCCAACGGGCGTGGAGAGATTACGTAAAGTAAGTTGAACTTATGATCTAAGCAGCTCATATCATAAAATATTGACTCATTCTCCTTACAATTTTTATGATTTTATGATACGCTTTAATCTTAGTTCCGGTGAGTACCTAGTAAGTGGCTTTAATTTTAAAACTTCAGACGAAAAAATCGCAGCCCATCACAAGAAGAAGAGAGTACAAAGTGGTCACCTGGCGGGGGTTGGGGCGGGCGGCTGAGTGCTCTGCTGCACGTGCGGCGCGGCTCGCACGCGTCCAGTCGCAAGTCGTCGCGAGCGTCCGACGCGTCCGACATCAGCGAGTTAGGGGGCGCCTGGCTCAACCTGCCGCTACTGCTGCTACCAGGGGCCGCGCCCGGGGAACAAGTCAGTATCAACCATCTAACACAACTACAACCAAACAAGACAACAATCAATCTTACACAATTGGGCATCCACATTTGTTTTATGAAAATAACATTGAATATAGGGATACAATAATTATATGCCTGTGTAGACAATCGTTTTAAAGATTATTCTAGAGTAACTAGGTAAATTGGATTAGTCATTTGTTGAATTTATTCTATTTCTTATACTTATCTGTATGTAACTAGGTAGTTAAGCATATTTTCTTCCAAAAATAGTCAACGATATCTCTCTACAGCTTCTCTTCGCCACTTTTATAGTGCTTTCAGTAATTATCTACGCCATACGTAACGGTTGTAACCGGTGAGTGAGACGGTGATACCAGTGCAGATATGGTGGTTTTCTTCTCTATTTTTAAAGCTAGTAATATTTGTCGTGGTACAGCCGAGTGGTTCTGAGTCAGCGCCGCCTCGAAGGCGCTCGGCCTACGGATTGCCAATCTTCCTGCGGCATCAGGACGCCTTGGACGAAGAGACCGGCCCGAAACGAGCAGGTTCATATGTAATGTTTTGCTTTCCGTGTCTCTTCCTCAGTAGGTTTAGAGATAGATGCATTCGAATACCCTCTGTCCTGGCTGAGCAACGCGTTGTGTTGCGGGAACACGTACGGTTCCGTACATAATTGCAAATAAATAATGTCTGCAGTTCCCGCCACAATGCGATGCTCAACAAAGACTTGGCTAGCACTGAGTGGTTAGTCACAAGTCTTACATTTTTCTTACTCTTCTCCTTTAGTAAAGACTCGGAAAGTGTTCTTATGTTTAAATTATTTAGTATTTTTTAAGTAATTGTTTGTTTTCCATTTGTCTTGTGTGCCTGTCCTTTGGAAGTAATGTTTGTCTTGCCAAGACATAGCCAAAGCCAACCACTCGGTCGTTAAATTCTTAGGTAACGATTAAATTCATTTGATAAAGAATTTAAAAACTACTAATTGAAGCATTAATTTTGACTTTACAAGTAAAATTCACAACATAAACATGGAAACAAGTTTACATGACACCTTATTTCTTATAGTTTTTAGATGGCGTGTCTAACAAGCATACCTAAGAACAATGCCCGTTTTAAAGTAACAAGGATAGAGTGTGAGCTTTGCATGCTTTAGCAGTAGGTACCCCAGAGTTCTCGCTTCTGTAGCTATTTATATGTAAGTGAATGTTAGCATGGACATTGTAGTGTGTAAGTCTGAGTAGTTTGTTCCCTTTACAATTTTTCATTCACTTTCAATGCTTCTCAGGAGTTCGTAAGTACAAATCTGTTATTATTTTAAGAAGTCTCATCTCTTATGGCAATAGTGACACACCTTGGGTCGCACTGATTTTACACTTTAGGATATAAATGAACTATCAGTCAACATCATTGTTAGATATGGCTATTTTAATCAAGCCTGACACGGCTACGCATAAGTCCTAACTTGTGTTAATCTTTCACACCGTGCAGATTTACAAATACAATTTACTATTACATACCAAATTGATTAAAGGTGACAAATTTTACGTCTAATATCTGCTCTGTTTGAATTTAGGTGTCAAATTTAGCAATTAGATATAGTGCTTTACCACTGCAATCGGGCACTACAAGCGAAGACACGACAGATAGAAATGATAGGATATGTAGTTTTGAGATGTGTTGATACTATGTAGTGTTGTGTGCACAGGTTCCCTTCGGCTGAGCTCGCGGCGCAGCTCCATGCGTCGCGTGACACCGCCGGCGCGCGCGCGCACTCCGTCGCCACACGCCAACAGTGAGGTCAGCATCCTCGTGACGGAGGCGTCTCCTGACGCAGCTCCAGTGGCCACGTCTGCGCCTCCCGCGCCCCTCACCCCGACTGCGCCCCCCGCGCCCCCGCCCACACTGGTGCGTGTGCTGGTGCACCGAGAGTCGGACGAGCGCCCCAGCTGATCTCCGACTCCCGAGCTCGAGCCCCGAGCTCCTCCTCCGGACGTTCCCCCATCGAACGACCCCGATTGACTTTCCATCCGGCAGTGCTCCGGCGAAAATTGTGATTTTTAAATTTAATTAGCCCCGTTCGCGGATGTCATTATGGTGGATACGTTGAGATAGATGACCTCGTTTCCCTAAACCTAGTAAACGTTAGACACGAGAGTTGTAATTTTGTTATTTACGGGTAGAATTTGAAATGCGCCCATTTATCTCAACAATTAATAATTAATAGATAGTTAATACAGTAATAACCTGAAACTTCCAGAGTCGTTACAATAAAGTTTTCATTAGTATCTCGTCGAATTCAATATAGCTTTACGATACCGAACTGCGCTCGGACGCGCACGCAAGTTGCATTACACGCCGTTAGGTAACATTCGTTTTTAGACGCTTTAATAGAGTAATGTTGCTGAATCCGATTTCTCTGGATCGTAGAAAGCTGGGATTAATTAACAGATTCATAACAATTACCTTATTCAATTATAGACGTAGAGAACCAAAAATGTGCCTAGAAAAATACGTATAAACACAATAATACATAGAAATCGGAAGTCTATGCCAAAAATAATTAAAAATCGAATCTAAGCATAGCATGTTGTTAAGGTTTACTACTTTGAAATACTTACTTCAAACAATTTTGTGATATTTTTTAAATCATTAAAGTACGTATTAATCAATTTATCTTAACTTTAAGAGTTGTAGAGTTCGATTTTACTGTAGATGTTGCCTTATCCACCTTCTACGAACCAGAGTTCGGTAAGACAGCAGTTTGTTTTATTAAAATTAATGATTTAAGTAGTTCGCTATTTGAGACCAAGTGTGTCAAGTTTATATTGTGTTATTGTAAATAGTGTTGTATACGAGGAGAATGACTGATGTCACCGTGTCAATAGAATTGTAAAGAAGCCTATTAAATCAGTCTGTACAAAAGATAAGCATGAGCACGAAAGATAAATGAATCAATATCAATAATTTTGTTTCTATAAATAATACGAGACAATACAATAGTACCTATGAAAATAAAAGGGCCTAAAACACTACCCTGAGGAACACCGTTACAACCGCGCTTTTTTGTCACTTGTATAGTTGATTTAAGAGTGAAAAAAAGAATATAAATTCTGGTGATTTACTTTCCTGTTTGTCTAAAAATGCAATTGTTCTATATATTGCAATATCTAGATATTCCTGCATTTGATTGACATAATCAAAACTAATCAAAAGCTTTAGAAGAACTTAAAAAACAATATTTGTTCAGTATATTACTTTAACATGTCATGTTTCCTTTTGTATAGACTGCAAAAAGTGGTTGTAAAGACATCAAGAGTCAGTTTAGGCTTCTGAATTATTGAATACAGTTCACATGCCATATTATTGTTGAAAATTATTAGAAATTAAGATAACATTTTTGCAAAATATTAGTTCTATGACCATTAAAATGGACGGCATATTGTTATGTATTATATTGTATAAGTATGTTGCCATATTATTTAAGGAAAATGTGCTTGACATATTTAATGTAATATTGGAAAACCCCTACATACTTCCTAATTTATATAATGTCTCTAAACATAATGAAACATGTGTTAATAGATACATAGACATTTGAGCCAGTAAGAATTCAGAATGTTTGGAAAAGACTTTTAGAAACGATAACACCATGACCTCAAACTACATTAATTAATACAAAAAATACACAACGTATTCTTTCGATATTATGTCCTTACAAATCTAAACTTATTTCAACTAACGTGCATATACTAAAAAGTAACTTTCTATATTTCAATGAAACATTATCTACCTACAGTAGATTTGACTGCCTTTCCTTTTATCAATAGACATTGTAGACAATTAAATTCAAGGTATTCTGTAGCTTTTGTTCTAACAGGAATTACAAATCTAGACGTAGTTATTTGTTTTTCAAAACACGTCGCCATTTTCTAAGATTTGCTAGTCAATGATCTCGCTAGAGCTTTTAGATCTTTGGCATGATAATTATTAAGTGGGAGTTTTTTAAATGATTAAAATAAAAACTGTCAGTCATTTTAATATGTTAGTTCAGCTCTAACAAACAATATATTATTATTACTATTAGATTACCTATCAATGTTACTGCTTTCTTCATTTTTTAATTTGTACCTACAAACAATTCTGGATTCGTATTTATGCTTACATATTTCTGGTATTTTATCATACTTAGGATTGTTAAAGTTCCTAGTAGGTACTTTTGCAATAACTAAAAAATATTCTTCTTAATGCACAAATATGTGGCAAACGATGGCATACAGACAAACATGTACAAAATGGGCAAATATTCGCACAAATCTCAATAGATATAATTACGTAGTAAGTCTTGGAGTTGCGTTTAATGTATTTATTTATTGTTAGACGAGTTACGTTGGCTTTGTGATTTTTGTTTAGTTTGTAAAACATTTTTGTATGTATTATTTTCTACTCGCCATTTTTATAATCTTACTGTATTACTGTACTATATTATTATCATCTTCAGGCGAAATTTATTAGTTAATATTTAGCCCGTCCACATGTTCCTTTTGTTGATTGTTTTATAGTTGTAACATTAGCTTCTAATAATGTTAACGAGTTGCTAATATAGGCGCACCAAGTGCTTTCGAATTATATTTTAGCTGCATTTATGTACAATCGGCCCGAAAAGTGATTACTTTTTATTTGTTGGCGAATTAATTAGCGCCATATATCACTTTTGGAACCGATATTACAACTGCGACGAGAATTTACTTAGGAGAATCATAAAACGTTCAATAAATAAAGATGTTGATGCGGTGGTTTTAAATAGTTCTAATAACTATAGAATTAGCTTTTTTTCTAAAAGAAAAGTTTAAAAAGAATTTTAAAATTTCTCTAGAAGTATACTTGAGCAGGTACATTTTTAATCCCCAAATATTTTCCAATTTAGCAAGGACCAAAACTAATTTTTGTTCGAAAAAAATTCCATTTACATACTAATTATATTCTTGACCAACTTTTGAATTAATTTTTACTTAGAATTTTCGAGGCCTGTATCAGATTATGCTAGAGTGTAGATGCTGACACCTTGTAACATATTAGTATTTATACCACCTCGCTTTATGACAAGTTTTACACCATTTGCTTTAAACCCTTTGATATCTCAACAAGCCACACTCACAATTAAATATTTTCAATTCTAAAAGGAGGAAGCATGATAAAATTGTTCTAATAGAATAGATGATATTTCTCAATATTGTTCATTACTATGTACATAATGAAAGATGCAATAATTTTTCATAATTTTATCTATAGTTATATCTTGGAGAGGTTGTTAGTGGTTACTTTTAACTATAATTTATAATATGTACGATGTACATGTAAAACTATTGTAGTTAGTGAAATTGCAATGTTTAAAGCATGTGTTGGGCATGATTCAATTTGTGTAACATATGTTTAAATTGTATGATATGTAAATAAAAAGTTTAAATGAGACCTGCGAAATATGATTTTCTTCCGAGGTACAAAATATAAATTAACCATGTTGAAAACTATGATTAAATGAAAATATAGACATGTTGTATTTTTATTTTTAAACACTTTAAACCTACAATGAAGTTAAAATGCAAAACAAATGGTTCACCCATAATTTATAGAATTAATAACATAAATGGTGATATCAGGATGTATGTATATAAATGGTAGTTCAATTCTGCCATCTATAACATCCAAAGTTTAAATAACATACTAATCTTTCCCATAAAATTAAAAGATTTTTCCTTAAAAATCTTAACACTAATCATTAGCTCAGTCATATAATAGAATCTACCTAGAATGTATTCCGGGAGTTTTGAAATTTGGCAATTTTGTAGTTCTCTCCGATTTCTATTTTGCACGCTCGTACTGTGTATTTTAGGAGAAAAACGTAAAAACGTTAACGACAAAATCAAACTAGCTTCTCACAATATCTTCTAATTTATGTCTCGACAGCTTTTTAGTAATATATAGTACCTATAGTATTATAAAGTAGTTATGGCGCCGGAGCACAGTATTTATAAGCATATGTAGTACATTTATATAAACATTTTGAGAAAACATTCCTGGCAACCCCATATTTCCAATGATCGAACTGCATCCAGACACACACACTAAAGATGCAGGAGTTTTATAATAAACACAGCTCGATTCAACAGCAACTATTTATTTAGGTTAACCAACATACAAAATGAAAAATAAATTTGAAATTAAATCATTATATTAAATAAGTTCACTAGTATAATAAGAAGTGTCTATGTAAAATAACCACAATTGGAAAAATGTACTAACATCATTACTTGGTGGAGACCCTGGTGCGGCGGTTCCATGAGAAATTAACTCCATAGTTCTTAGGTTTGAACTGCTTCTTAACTTTAGGAACATCAAGGAACCAGTTCCATCCATTTTTCTCGCAAAGTTCAATGGCTTCTTCTGGGCACTTGAATTGCACTTTCATGTTAGAAAGTGGATCTCCAGTGGATGTCCAGCCCATCAAAGGGTTTTCCCAGCGTTGACGGTTATCAAACTCCATCTCCCAGTGGTGAATGTTGTTGGTACCGCTCTGCATAGCATTCTTGGGAGGTTGGTAGATTCGCACACGGCGTGTATAAATGTGCTCCGCGGGAACTCCACTCACAGGTGTTAAATCCACCTGGAAAACATATCAAATTAAATTCGTAAAATGCCTCAAACATTTTTACATCAATTTGTATTTTGTTTGTAGGAAATTAGAATCTAACATGATGATTAAACTGTCAAACACCAAGCGGTCACCGGTGACCGCAACCTATTGTTCTATAATTGTGTCTATAATGATGGTACTCAGCGAGTTAAACAAGGTGTAAACTTTCAACATTCACAATTGTAGAATAAAATTAGACCAAGAATGAACAGTAAGTCTAACATAATAACATAATAATATAAACAAGAGCTATAGTTTCATACTTTTAGATCATTCAAATTATAATTTTCCTTGAAATTATTAGCTTAAGTTTTTATTTTAAATGGATATTTATACTGTTCATAAATCTTATATAAATTCTGTGTGATACTGGAGGATTCTGGGCATCAGCAGATTTAATTGATACATTGCAAAGCACTAAACTACTCAGAATTAGTCTCTTAATCTTTACCCATAATAGGATCTAATAAGCATTAAACTGTCAAACACCAAGCGGTCACCGGTGACCGCAACCTATTGTTCTATAATTGTGTCTGTAATGACAGTACTCGACGAGTTAAATATCAGTTTTACAAAGACATTTTCAGATAATCTATAGATATATATGTATTGTATCTGATTTGTCTATTTCAATATAAAAAAAAAACAGTTAAGAAAATTACCTTTACAGGAACCTTTATGGTTGATTCCAAAAGATGCCTTTGACGTAATTCATCAGGGGTAGATGTGGCAACATCAGAGTCAATCATAGGCGCCTCATGGAGGCGCATGGGATCTTTGCAATCGAGACGTGCTGATGTTGAGAATGCTGGCAGGGACCTAAAAACATTGGCAATTTTAGAATGGCATAACCATAACCCTCAACTCCTATTTTCTTAGAAAAGAATTATGATGTTCATTTGAAACACCTACCTGGACAGCGGAGTTTTAGATAAACTCGCTGCACGAGAAATCACTTGAAACATGTTATGTTTTTACGTAACAATCACAATATGAAAAATTACGCTTCGCTAAATGAACTTCAGATTCTGTTTTGTCACTGTCAAAAATTTATTTGCTGTCATTAATGCAATGACAGTATTCGTTTTTTTCTCGCTTTGATACTATTTTTTTTAAAGTGTCAATCATCGAATGACTGCTCCCGCCTGGGTGAGGCGGAAGGGAGTGTCAGACTCTTACTGACTAAAAACCACCCCGTTCCTTCTCCTGCACGTCGAGCCGGAGCCCCGGTTACCCGTTAGGTTCTCCGCAACTCGCTTTGAAACTTAGAGTGTAATCTCTGTAACCTCATACCAATCTTGATGAAAATAAAACCCTCCTACAAAGTAACGATTAGATTTTTATTAATTCCGTCATATTTTAATTTGTATTATGCGTGAAATGATTTCAAAATGATCTATCATCATAATTTTATCAAACTCTTTGTTTGTTAGTGACTGTCCGTGCGTATCAAATCAAACGTCCTGCCTTTTTGTCATTTCTGTGACAAGCAATGACAGAAAATTCTGATTCTGTATTTCTGTCAGTCAGTCAGTTGCTGTCAAAGCGTCAATAAGAATTTCACAAAATATCGCATAATTCTATTATTATATCGCTATCTCTAATAAAACTAGTTTATGCTGTTATAATATACTATAGGACATGTTTCTGTGTGATATCTTCTTTTACTTAACTTAAAATATGATGTGCAACATCTCTTTCACGTTCGCTATACTTCAAACAGCTGTTTTCTTGTAAAGGTAAATTATAATCTAAAATAGTGTATTAATTACATTGTTTTACATTGTTTAATCCTTGTACTCCATATTTGTATATTATTCTAATATTATGAAATCTTATACTTGTTGCTTAGGCCGATCAGCCGTAACCGGTGTCACCTAACATTCGACCTTGAAGAATGCGTATTTTTCACTCAAAAATGTTTGTTAAGTACTACTCCTATCGGTACAAACAAAGTTAGTTCCTTCTTTAACAATAAACATACCTATAAAGTTTCATGCAATGTTTACTTGTACTTAAAATTTCATACTTATCAAAATTATTGTGAAACATGTCAAAAAGAACTTTAATCCTGTCCTTACTATCATATTATTAAACTTTACTACTAATTACGTTCATATTTCACATATCCACGACTCTGATATTATCATAATAGTACCTAATGCTGACTTGAAAATATTTAATAATTTCAATGTCTATTATCTCATAATTAACCGAAAGATATAAATAAGAAACCTGATCTTGTTGTTGGAAATGAGACTTTATAACTGAAGGCATTAATTTCAAAATCTGATTGTAATTGTAAACTGAACTAGGGCATACACTCTTATAAACAAAGTACTAATGATCTAAGTATAGTGGCCAGCAATTCAATCAACTTTTTATCAAATTATGTTAATAAAATTTTCAACTTTATTGTTTTTGTATAGAGTCCTAAATTCAATAAAAATAAATGGCAGATTGCAATAGCTTCATTTGCTGGCGATTGTACATATTTACGCACCACATATTCTTCAAATAATAGTAGTTAAACAATGTCACAATAATGTGTGTAACAATGGACTCATACTTTATTATGAAGGAACTATCACTGACTGCTTATCAGAAATAACCATACAAGCATACTAGAAATAGAATTCATTATAACTACATTGTCTTACTAGAATCAATAAAAATTACTACTAAATATAAGACACAGTATTTCACAATCTTTATTTCATTCATTAGATTATCGACTTTATGTCAATACTATAATATAATATATAATATGGATATCTTGACTTGCTGGCTACCATACTTATTTTATTACTGACTTACAGCTACAAAACAACAATGAAGTTACAAAATATATACTATAACAAGTTTTGTCGTATGATGTCATCGAAAATTTGTTAATAATTGCAGACTATAATTCTGCAAATTACGACTAATTGTGACAAGACAATAAGGAGGCACTGAAGCTCCTCCGGGAGCTACCTCGTAGCTGAGTTCTACATTGTACCTGTGAATTGCTCATTAGCATTAATTGTGAAATCACTCACATATCTCCTAATTTATTTACAAGAATCTAGTCTATAACAATATCAATATATTATTCTGCTTTTACGGTACTAAATACTGTACACAATGAGTAAGCATAAAGCAGAAGTAGATTGCACTGTACGCTGCAGATCTCGGAGCCATGGACAGGCTCTGACCAGTGCAATAACAAAGAGATCTATCAGTGATCAAGCTCTGGCAAGCTTCATTAAAGCAACATGTGCTAACTTTAACAAGGCATTCGATTTTGAGGTGAGTTGATTAATGACTATATTAAATAAAAAATGATTTACTTATATAATAACATAACATCACGCCTTTTATCCCCGAAGGGGTAGGCAGAGGTGTACATTATGCCACTGTACAATGTAACACCCACTTTTCACTATTTATGTTATGAGTCCCATGTAATAGGGGGTGAGCTTATTGCCATATACCGGGCACAATTCCAGACTCCGTGCTACTACTGAGAATTTATAAAAACCCAGTAGTACTTTGCCCGACCCGGGAATTGAACCCGAGACCCCTTGCCCGGCAGTCGCACTTGCGACCACTCGGCCAACGAGGCAGACTTATATAATGTTTCATGTAAATGTTGTAATCACAATGAAACAGCCCTCTATGCTCAAACTGGAATCTAATTACGTTTCTAACTTTATTAGATTTAGCCATTACATATTTGTCATAAGCTTTAAAAGTATAAATGTATAGTGTGCAGTTTTCTCCTATTAATAGATTGGGACTGTTTAGATAATAAGTCCATTATGTAAATAGTTTTAAATAAACTGTCAAACACCAAGCGGTCACCGGTGACCTCAACCTATTGTTCTATAATTGTGTCTACAAAGACGGTACTCGACGAGTTAAATAAATAAATAAATAAACAAACATTCTTCAACTCCAGGGTCGCACAGCACTCCACACAGCGGCGTCTCGCGGCCGCCTCGCCTTGATGGACTGGCTGATCCGCCACTCCTCCGTAGCATTCATCAACGCCCGCGACCGCGAGTCCGGGTACACTCCACTACATCGCAGCGTGTTCTACGGACAGATACATGCAGCTGTCGCTCTCATGAAAATAGGTTACTATCATCCCTACTTGTTTTTATATCGTTTTCACTAATAAATAGTGTGATTCTTGAGAGAAAACTAGTTAGAAGTCAATGATTGTTTGGTAAAGTTATGATATATTATTATGGTTAAAAAAAATCGAAATTGTTTCATTAAATTTCACAAGTATTTCTACTGAAAAGTGGCCACTCAGATGACTTCAGATCTCATATTTGAAGGACTAAATCCTTACTATAATATTATAAATCGGAAAGTGAGTTTGTTTGTTCCGATTTCACGCCGTAACTACTAAACCGATTGCTTTGAATTTTTGCAGACGTAAAGTTAGAAGTCTGGATTAAATAATAGAGTACTTCGAATCCCGTAAAAAAATGATATTCCCGAGCGAAAACAAAAGTATTGGTATAGATGGCGCTGTATGTATTGGTATATGTCACATAGGCTACTTTTTATCCTTTTGTGACGCGATCGAAGCCGCAGGTAAAAGCTAGTCTAACATAAAAGAAGCCAATTTAAGCCTACTACCCCCTATTACCGCAAAGAATGTTTCAAGTCCTACCATGATAAACATTTTAGACCAGTACGGTCATCGGGTGAGTAGAACAGGTACATACTTCAACTTTTGTCACAGATAAATACAACACTTAAACTGTCAAACACTAAGCGGTCACCGGTGACCGCAACCTATTGTTCTATAATTGTGTCTACAAAACCGGTACTCGACGAGTTAAATCCTTTCTAGGTGTAAACATGGATATAGTGGACAAAGATGACTACAAAGCCCTAGAACATTTGATGCTGGACCGCCAGTACATGTACAAACATGAAGGCAGTCAACCGAGCGAGGTATATGTATGGGGCAGCAACTGCAACTACACCCTCGGCACTGGTACACAGCAACAAAGAAACTCCCCTGAACTACTCACCAGTTTTAACAGAGCTAATACTTGCGTCAAACAGGTATGTTCGGCCATTTTTTTCTTTTTACTGATTTTTGTCCAAGTCTTGTATGTCCATGTAATTTTGGCTATTCTGTGAGAATATGAGTCTTTCAGCTTCATAATAATAAGTCTAAAAATGTTTTGAGTCTATGGTATTATAGAGACTCAGACATTTCATATTTGGCCTTAAGTGAACACATTTTAACGAAATCATTATTTCCAAATCTGTCGCATGCCTCATACGTTTAAATTCTCAAAAGGCTAACTAAACATGTGTAGTATTATCTGTGCAACAGATAGCGTGTTATCATAATTATGAAACATTATTTTCTTAATTAATCAATTAATTGCGATGGAAGTGATTAGAAGATCAAAGTGCTTAGTACGAGTTTGTTTGTGTTTAAACTACCTAATCGAAACGAAACCGCATTCAGCGCTCTGATTGGCTGGCTCGAATGAACCAACCAATCATATATCGCCGAATGCGGTCTCGTTTATATTATTTTACTAACCCCTATGACACAGTATTAATAGTTGCGTTATTACGAAATCTGTGATAATCTACTCAGAGTCGGTGTTATAGGTTGCATTTAACTACACGTTTTTTAAATTTGCTTTTTGTTTTTATATATTTGTTTTGTTTTATGCATTTCATTTTGTGTTTTTGGGGAAAATTGTTTTATGTTTATCGTTGTCTGATTGGTGACTTGTTCGTCCGCGAGTCACTTAAGGGGCCAGTAGAATACCAGCGCGAGGCCCTGTCTTGCACATGCTGAACTGGTCCCATTTCACCGCAGACTTGGGACATTAGTAGATGTATATGAACTTATGTGTAAAATCTGTACGTGTCACCTGTTTTTTTAGCGTGTGAAATAAAGTCTTTCTTTCTTTATCACCTCGTAGTAGTTCTTAATTTATAGGTTCAAATACCTAACTGCCAACCTCCTTACACCTCATTAAATAATACCTAAACATTTTGCATAAATCCAAGTGGCCTGCAACAATATCTGACAGCGTCACTAGTACTAAATGGCAGTTTTAGATATAACCTATACCTAGATTTCAATTAATTTTGAGTAATCATTTTAGTTGACCGTATTAAGAACAAGATAATGCATTCAGTTGGGTTGCCCCGGACATGTCTCGGCTTTACAAATATATTTTCCTTCATGTGTGGTCTGGTCGCGTTCATAATTTGCCTTTGGTGCGCCGTCAATACAGAATTCTTCCAGGATGTGAACTCTTCAGTGGCCAGTGTTTCCACCGTCAATTCTATCGCTAAATTCGTAAATTTGAAACTATGGTTGACCCCTCTAACGTCGGTGCTGATACCGATAGCCGCGCTCGCTATGATGACGTCATGCTGCGGAGTGCTGGGCGCTGGCTGCAGGGTGAAATGCGCCATGAAATCGTACATATTCCTCGTCAGTACAATGACATTCATCTCGTTTTGGATATTCTTCATATCAGGAATTTATAACATTTACACTAAAAACGAGAGTACTCGGAAATACATGCAGACGTCTATAGAAAAATATTACGGAAAAGAAAACGATTTTATCACTTTCATATGGGACTACGTGATGATAGAACATGAGTGCTGCGGAGCTGTTAATTATAGAGACTTTATGATATCGAAGTGGCAGACCGCGAATCCTTCGAAAATGTACCCGATCCAGTGCTGCAAGCTGGCTAACGTGACCAGTTTGGAGCCGGTCTCGCCAAACTGCTCGCTGATCCTCGACCCAGACATGCTGACTCACAAGGACGTCGGCTGCTTCGAAGCGCTGCATTCAGCGATAGTCATGAATAAAGGGACAATTATATTCTATATCGTCTCGTTGGGATTGTTTTACATGGTTGTAATACTATTTGCATACTGTATATTGCGAGGGGAGCCGCTATTGGGAGCGATGGCGGGTAGATTTACAGACTTGCTGCCGTCAAGGGCGCAGGAAGATACACGTAAAATGATTCCAGTGAACCAGGCTAGGAGTAAAATTGTGTATGTGGAGGAGCAGCCCCAGCCGCAGCGGATGGTGAAGGTGGTGTCGGCGGTGAACCCCTTCCAGTCGTACTCGTTCGCTCCCAGCGCGTACAGCCGGCCCGAGGACTACCGAGCGCACACTGTACATAGCGTCAGGCGATAGATATATGTTCAATAAACACTTTGTTATATAATCTATATGGTTTTATTCTGTATTATTTAGTTTGGATAAAATAAATTACTTTATTTTAATGAACTATCGTGTTTGTAATTATGTTGCTACTTAGATAAAAAATTCATAGTAACAGCGGCCAGATGTAAGCTTTGGGATAGCGTTGCAATCTTTTACGCTGCGGCAGTTTGTTTATTTCCCTGCCATAAACGTAACAGTAGCATATTCTTCTAAGAATCTATTATAATGAAAGATTGCAATTATAGTAAGTCAAGTTTTATATTTAGTAAACAATCGATATACTATATCCAGATGAATCTGTTTTATATGTATGACAATCTTTCCTTTTGTTGTCGTGGCTTGCACAGTTGGATCACGGGTAGACAACTCTAGAATTGTATAATTAAACTTCATAGACATACGTCTTAATTCCAGGTATGTTTAGGCAAGTTCCACAGCGTGTGGCTGTCAGGGTCGGGCGAGGCGTGGTGTTGCGGCCAGCAGGCCCGCGCGGGCGGCCCGCACGCGACGTCGCTGCGCCCCACGCCGCTCAAACTAGCGGAGCCCTGCGTTGCCATCGCCATCACACTCAATTCTACAATATTCCTCATGGAAAGTGGAACGGTATGTATTGTTAACCGACTTGAATAAACTAAGAAGGTTTAGTTTGACTTGAAGGTTAAGTATGTATGTAATAGTATTGTATAATTTGTTGACGCAATATAATTTCTATAGTATTAAGATTTTATTGTGTTTGACTAGACACTTACAAGTTTGCATGCTTTAATTCTAAGCAAAACATGCTGGACTTTATATTTGTAGGCTCAGGGTCCGACATTATTTGAAAATAAAACAAAGAGCTTCACACAATCACTTAGTTTATTTCGATTAAATGAACTTACTTTCACATTAATTTTTAATTATAATAATTGAATAATTCAGCACTGATTATATAAAGGAAACACTCAAATAAAACCAACAATAAAATTACTCAGCGATTGCGTAACGTGTGAACTGGGCAACGATCGACGAACGACTGACTCGAGCTTGCGCTTGCGCTGCTTTATATATCACTCGGTGGTGGGGTTGAAGTGACGTCGGTCAGTTGTTTGTTCACTGCTCGCCCATTACATTCGCAGTTTACAAAATAATGACGGCGGCGCCGACACGGCCATACTGACGTACGCTCGTCCTCGAGCGTTTTCCGAGCATCTGGGAATAAGATAACAACCCGTTCGATCATCCTGGCATTTCTAATCTCTATCTAGTATAACCTTTAACAAAAGCTTTCAATATTGTGCGGGTTCGGTTAACCCTTCAGCTTACCACAACTACTACGTTATCATCACTCATCAGTATTAGAACTGGAGACGATTGTGCTAGGCCGGATAAATATCCCTTTAGCGCATGCTAGACTGGACATCAGTCCCTTTAGCGAATGCTAGACTGGACATCAGTCCCTTTAGCGAATGCTAGACTGGACATCAGTCCCTTTAGCGAATGCTAGACTGGACATCAGTCCCTTTAGCGAATGCTAGACTGGACATCAGTCCCTTTAGCGAATGCTAGACTAGACATCAGTCCCTTTAGCG